CTATTCACACGTATTAAAAATCAAACTATCTTCTCATATCAACATTACCTAAAAAAGCAATCTATTGATAATAATATTTGGGCACTGGGACTATTAATATTATAACTATATAATTGCAGCCAATGTGAATGATTAGAGTTCTGCTCTTTTGTGTGTGAGCTTGACGCATTAGTGTGTATGTGTGTCTCGTGGTGTATAGGTGTGCTTGTTTATTTGATTGGGGTATTAGTGTGTTTTTTTAGTAAGTATGTACTTTTTTGGTCTATTTGTGTATTTTTTGGTGCATTAATATGTGTAATTTATTGTATGACTTTGTATTTTTGGTGTATGTGTGTGTTTTGGTTTATTGGTGTGTGTATTTTGATATATTAATGTGTTTATTGTGTATTAGTGTGCGTGTGTGTAATTTTAATAAGGATAACAAATGCTACTTTTTTTGTTTAAAGTACTTTTCATAAGTCATCCCAACTTGTTTGTTAGTAATTCTTGAACACACGTTCTTGTTTAAATTCATTGACTATGATATATGTCTTAGATGCACGGCTAATAACTCTTCTTCTCTCTTTCGGTAAGTTAGTATGAAATTGTNACTTGTTTGTTAGTGGTTCTTGAACACACGTTCATGTTTAAATTCGTTGACTATGATATATGTCTTAGATGCATAGATAATAACTCTTCTTCTCTCTTCCAGTAAGTTAGTATGAAATTGTTGTGGCGTCAATTATCTGAAAGAGAACTTTGTTGTGTATTTGATCGGTGTATTGAAAAATTTAGTACCCAGTTAAATTGTCTTAACTATTAATGTGTGTTTTTTTGGTGTATTATTATTTGTGTTTTGGTGTTTTGGGGTTTGTGTATATTTCCTTGTCTATTAGTGTGTGTTTTTATGTATTACTGGTTATTTTGGTGGATTAGTGTTTGTTAATACTGTGTGTGTATTTTTTGGTATACTAGTGGGTATACTTGTACGGTGTATTAGCGAGTGTGGTTTTTGGTTTCTTAATGTATATATGTGTGTTTTTGGTTTCTTAGAGTGTGCGTGCCTGTGTTTTGTGTATTATGGTGTGTATTTTGTTGGGTGTTTTTTTTTTTTTTTGGATAAATTAGTGTGTTTTGGTGTATAGGGATATGTATGTGATTTTTGGTCTATTAGTGTGTGTGTATGTGCGTGTTTTTTGGTGGGTTAGTGTGTTAACATGATGTGGGTGTGGTGTATTAGTATATGTGTGTATTTTTGGTATATTAGTGTATGTGAATGTGTGTTTTTACATATTAGAGTGTTTGTGTGTGCGTGTCATATTTGATGTATTAGTAGGGTTGTATGTGCGTTTTAGTATGTACATGTGATTTTTGATATATTGTGTGTAATATTGTGGGGGAATGTTTGTGTGCGTGTGTGGTTTTTGGTGCATATTAGTTAGTGTGTGTGTGTATATGGGTGTGCTTTTTGATGTATTAGTGTGTGCGTGTGTGTTTACATCTTAGTGTGTGCATATTATTTGTGATGTATTAGTATCTGTGATTGTGTTTTTACATATTAGTGTGTGTATTTTGGTGTAGTAGTTTGTATATTTTGGTGTAGTAGTTTGTGTATTTTGATATATATATATAATAAAATAGGATTGTGTTTAAATTTTATCCTAGTAATAAATATAAGAAGTTTTTAATATAGAAGTGATTTTAGAGAAGTAAAAAGTTTCTTATTTTGTTTTCCTTTCTCTTCTACTTATTGACTTATTTAAGAGGTGACATTTCTATTAACTTATCTAAAAATAATTTTAATAATGATAACAAACGCTACTTGTGGGAAAAGTCGTAAGTCCGAAAAGTACTTTTCATAAGTCATCCCAACTAGTTTGTTAGTAGTTCTTGAACACACGTTCTTGTTTAAATTCGTTGACTATGATTTATGTCTTAGATGCACGGATAATAACTCTTGTTCTCTCTTTTGGTGAGTTAGTATGAAATTGTTGTGGCATCAATTATCTGTGTATGTGATCGGTGTATTGAAAAATTTAGTACCCAGTTAAATTGTCTTGACTATTAGTGTGTGTTTTTTTGGTGTATTATTATTTGTGTTTTGGTGTATTGGTTATTTTGGTCGATTAGTGTTTGTTAATACTCTGTGTGTATTTTTTGGTATACTAGTGGGTATACTTGAATGGTGTATTAGCGTGTGTGTGATTTTGGTTTCTTAATGTATGTATGTGTGTTTTTAGTTTCTTAAGAGTGTGCGTGCCAGTATTTTGTGTATTATGGTGTGTATTTTGTGGGGTGTTTTTTTTTCTTGATAAATTAGTACGTGTTTTGGTGTATAGGGATGTGTATGTGATTTTTGGTCTCTATTAGTGTGAAGTGTGTGCGNTTTTTTTTTCTTGATAAATTAGTACGTGTTTTGGTGTATAGGGATGTGTATGTGATTTTTGGTCTCTATTAGTGTGAGTGTGTGTGTGTTTTTTGGTGGGTTAGTGCGTTAACATGATGTGTGTGTGGTGTATTAGTATATGTGTGTATTTTGGGTGTATTGGTGTAAGTGAATGTGTGTTTTTACGTATTAGAGTGTTTGTGTGTGCGTGTCATATTTGATTTATTAGTAGGGTTGTATGTGCGTTTTAGTGTGTACGTGTGATTTTTGATATATTTGTGTGTATTATTGTGGGGGAATGTTTGTGTGTGCGTGTGATTTTTGGTGCATATTAGTTAGTGTGTGTATATGGGTGTGCTTTTTGATGTATTCGTATCTGTGTTTTATGTTTTTATATATTAGTGTGTGTAATTGGTGTAGTAGTTTGTGTATTTTGATATACAATAAATATAAGTTTTTAGCATAGAAGTGAGTATAGAGAAGTAAAAAGTTTCTTCTTTTTTTTTCTTTCACTCCTACTTATTGGCTTATTTAAGAGGTGAAATTACTTTTGACTAATCTAAAAGTAATTTTAATAAGGATGATAAGCGCTACTTTTTTTTGTTTAAAGTACTTGTTAGCAAAATAGTAAGTCCTACAAGCACTCTTGATAAGTTATCCTAACTTGTTTGTTAGCAGTTCTTGAACATACGTTCCTATTTAAATTTGTTGACTATGATATATGTTTTAGATGCACAGATAATAACCCTTGTTCTCTCTTCCGGGAAAGTTAGTATGCAATTTGTGGCGTCAATTATCTAAAAGAGAACTTTGTTGTGTATTTGATCGATGTATTCAAAAATTTTGTACCCAGTTAGATTGCCTTGACTATGGTATAATTTGGGACCNCGTCAATTATCTAAAAGAGAACTTTGTTGTGTATTTGATCGATGTATTGAAAAATTTAGTACCCAGTTAGATTGCCTTGACTATGGTATAAGTTGGGATCAACTGCCTGATGTGGTTGTGGATGTTAAGCATTCAAAAGCATATCTCATCAACACAAATATTGCGGTGAACGAGTTGGTTGGATTGCTTAACCGAGTTAAATATATGCCGGCTAATCAATAACTTATATAGAAAGAGGTGTGCTCACGATCCTTATTCTAGTATGATATAGTAAGATATTGACATTTATGTTGAATCATTTGTTTTACATTCTACCAGCAAAATTATATGAAGATTAGTGTAAAACAGGTATTATTTCAATCTCAAATCTTTGTAATTTGTGTTCATTTTATTTCCTGAATTTAATTACTTCTAGTGTTATTAATTTTCTTTGGACTATTCTAAAAATTTTAGTTAATAGTCTTTTATTTGATGTGGTTTTGGATGTTAAGCGTTCAAAAGCATACCTCATCAACATACAAATATTGCGGTGAACGAGTTGGTTGGATTANTTAAGCATTCAAAAGCATACCTCATCAACATACAAATATTGCGGTGAACGAGTTGGTTGGATTACTTAGGTGAGTTAAATCTCTGTCAGCTAATCAATATCTTCTATGGAAAGAGGTGTGCTCACAATCCTTGTTTCTGGATGATATGATAAGATATTATGATTTTTTAAGTGTATCTGACATGTATGTTGAATCCTTTGTTTTGCATTCTACCAGCAAAATTATATGAAGATTGGTGTAAATCAGGTATTATTTCTATCTCTTTATCTATGTAATTTGTGTTCATTCTGTTTCCTGAATTTAACCACTTCTAATGTAATTAATTTTCTTTGGAATGGTCTAAAATTTTAGTTCATAACCTTTTCTTTGATGTCCTATCAAGGTACCTAAAAGTAGTGACAAATAAGGGTAGCATCAAACTCAATCTTCTTACTCTTCTTTTGTATCATTTTATTGGCATCCATGTCTAATTGCCCTTACCTTGCATATTTACTTCTCTTCTTGAAGCAAATCTGTATTGTTTCCCATGAGGAGTGAATTATTTTAGGAGCAGTCTGCATTTGGTTTTAGAACGACTATCTTTTTCAGGTATTGCTGCATTTCTTCATTTATCTATCTATTCCTGTTTTAACTGGTGGGGGTTGGTGCTTTCGTGGTAAATTTTGAAGACCTCGCTGCAAGTTACAGTGTAACTAAAGTTGCCAAGTGTCAGATTTGGGTTGCTTCTATGTCTCTAAAACATAAACATGATTAATAAGTTCAAATTAATTCGCGAATGACTTATTGAGGACTTTTCTCTCAGGTTATAGTGGGTCTTTCTACATGTCATAATAGTTTGCATACGTATCTTTGTGCTCATGCCTAAGTATCTCTTGAGTTGTCCTCTGCCTTTTGATATTTCAAAGTCCCATTACAGCTTCGGTTCAATGGACTCTGGGAGTTCAAGTGAGCTCTAACTTAAACAAAACGTGCACAATCCTTTTATGAACTGATGCATTATCTTATGTTCAAGTGAGCTCTAACTAAAACAAAACGTGCATAATCCTTTTATGAACTGATGCTCTAAGTGAGGATTTTTGTTCCTCCTAAATTGTTGAGACCTGCATGCATGATCTTATGTTAATCGGAACCCATTATTGTTTTTAAAACTAAATGTTGCTGCAGTTCTGTCCTGCTGGAACAGTAGTGTTCAGCATATGGTGGAAGAGGTTATTGAGGGATGGGCAGCTGTATGTGCAAGTAAAGCTTACATTGAGGGGATGGAATCAACTCAATAGAATTAGGTATTTTATATGACTTCTAAAGTGACCAAACAAAGTTAAGGATTGATTCAATACCGAATCCCAGATCCCTATAGACAACTAATGGTAGGAAGAATTTACCACCACATCCAAGTAATTTATATAAATTAGTGCTGGATGCGATTGAAGTTTAATATAAAATGGATGTGGATAAATACCTGCATTCCAGTTTATTTAATAGGAACCCAAAGGGCGAGTTTTTCAAAGGGGGTTGATATAGAACAGATTCAAAAGTTGGTTTGTTTTTATTTTTTTGGAATTAGAATTTAATTTGGAGCTATCAATTAGCATTCCTATTTCATGTCATTTTCTGTTTTCCTATTGTTTATGTCTCTTTTATTTTAAATTAGGCTTTAAGCCACAAGGCAAAGTTATCATTCTAGTCAATAATGTCACCATAGTTTCTCACATTTATTCTTCTTAGTGGATTCTAGGGTTTTGACTATTCAAAATACTTATATCCGGGGACCTGGCACAGAATAAGCTGAGCGGTGAAATTCCAAGGCTCATATATTGGAACGAAGTTTTGCAATATCTGCAAGTGTATTAGTAGTTGATGTATCGAACTGCCTTGTCCTGGTGGCTTGGTGATTCATGAATTATGAACCCATTTTGTTTATCTACTCAGCTTAGGGGATTGCGAGGGAACAACTTAGTTGGTACACTCTCTCCTGATATGTGTCAGCTAACAGGGTTGTGGTATTTATAAGTTCTTGATCACTAGTTTAATTTTAATTCTCCTTTTCTATTTTCTGTTATAACAGGCCAATTGCTGATACCTACTAGTTTTCCTCTTTTTACAGTGATGTTAGAAACAATAGTTTGACTGGTACCATTCCTGAGAACATAGGCAATTGCACTGCCTTCCAGGTCTTGTATGTACCTCCACTAACATATTGTGGCCAACTTCTGGATGATACTTTTTGTGGTTAATTAGAATATCCTTATAAATTTTGCTGATAGGGATTTGTCTTACAATAAACTGACTGGAGAGATTCCATTCAATATTGGGTTCTTGCAAGTAGCTACGTTGTAAGTATAAGCAATTCACTTGGGTATCTTGAGTTTGTGTTTGTCTTTAAATGGGAATGAATTTCTGGTGCATGCTAGATCTTTGCAAGGAAATCAGCTTTCAGGGCAGATCCCATCAGTCATTGGCTTGATGCAGGCACTCGCAGTGTTGTAAGTGCTTTACTATTCTTGTCATCTCAACTTAATGTCGCAACAGCATGGAATTCCTTTGACTTCTTTCGTTTAGATTTTCTTCTTACCCTACATGTGTCGCTATTTCTGTTGTCTTCAGAGATTTAAGCTGCAATACGTTGAGTGGACTGATCCCTCCCATCCTTGGAAATTTGACTTACACAGAGAAATTGTAAGCACAGCATCTGTGTTTTTGTCAATTTGTTTTATTTTACTCATAGGTTTTGTGTCTTCAAAAGTTATAAAGAACAGATAGCAGTAGGCTTTCTATTTAATGAATGTCCATTGCCATCTTGCGTCCTGCAATTTTCATGTTTGTTATTAGTAGTTAAATATATAAGTCAAGGTATTGTCAAGTTAATTGAGCACTTAGTGTACAACTCTATTTATTTAAGACATCCACCTGTATGTCAAGTTTAATATTTTGACAGGATTTCTTTATGACAGGTATCTGCATGGAAACAAGCTGACTGGATCCATTCCCCCAGAGCTTGGGAATATGACAAAGCTCCACTATCTGTATGACACATTTTGTTGGCTATTTTCAAACCTCTTGTTTTTTGGTGCTCTTGATTTTTCTTGTTAAAGATTTTCCAAACTGAAGCGGACGCATTTGGATGGTCTTCAAGTCAGGAGATACTTCATATTTAAGTTACTAGTTGATTATGTGATTTACACAGTCATCAGAACTGTCTGTTATTGCACACTTTTTTCAGGCATTATATATCATAACCCAATAATATATTCAACCCCCCCCCCCCTTCTTCTACTAAAAATACTCTGTACTTATGCACTGTTGAACTGGTTCATTAGGAGCACATCGCATGTCAGCAGCGTTGTAATAACTAAGAGTGCTACTTGATGTTTGCTAGTCATGCATATTCAGAAATATTCGCTATTCAATTGTTTCATTTTTGCCTTTGCAGGGAACTGAACGACAATCGGCTCACTGGGCATATCCCTCCCGAACTTGGGAGGCTTACGGACTTGTTTGACCTGTATGTCCTGTTTCCCTAAAAGTGTTAATTGAGCTGGGGTCTGCTTTTCTTTATAAAGTTACTAACACTAAATGCTTGCAGAAATGTTTCTAACAACAACCTTGATGAGCATATACCTGATAATCTTAGCTCATGCACAAATCTCAACAGCCTGTAAGCATTCCACCTCAATCTCCTGTTATGTTCCTTTTTACCTTTATTTTTAAAAATTTTGTGTCTGTTGAGGATGGTCATTGACCCAATAATTTGATGGCAGCAATGTGCACGGGAACAAATTGAATGGGACCATCCCTCCTGCATTTCAGAGACTGGAAAGTATGACTCATTTGTGAGTTCCACTCTTCAACTAAAGACTTATTTTGAAGATTTTCATGCAGTTTTGTTAGTACTAAATAATTATTTTTTTTAACTGACCTGCCAAATGGTTCAAATGGTACTGCATGTTTTTCTATTGGTTATGAGGATGGAAGATGCACCATTCATGTTGCCTAGATTCGTATTTGCTTCTGCCATCTATCTTACAATTCTTCATTGGCTCATTGCAATGTCATCCAATCCATGTGCGCATCTATAATATTTGTTTACATTTTATCAGTCACAATTCTTTCTTGAGTGATTTGAGTGCTTGATGGCTTTGCTTATGCTTTTCCTCATCATCTCTAGGAATCTATCCTCTAACAATCTTATGGGTCCCATTCCAATTGAGCTGTCCCAGATAGGTAATTTGGTTACTTTGTAAGTGGTAAATTCCTTTTTGTTGACTGTAATACTTCTACTACTTTTTAGTTCTTGAAATATGACTTGTATTTTTGGCCTGTTTTGGTGAATCAGAGACCTCTCAAGTAATAGGATTAGTGGTTCCATACCTTCTTCCCTTGGTGACTTGGAACACCTGCAAAAACTGTGAGTTTCACCATTTGGTGATTCCTGTTCAATAGAGTTTTCATCATATAGCTCACTTCCTTTCTTTTTATGTGGTAGGAATTTAAGCAAGAATGAGTTGACTGGTTTTATACCAGCCGAGTTTGGTAATCTAAGTAGTGTCATGGAAATGTGAGGAAGTATTTAAATGCACGATTCTGTTTACTATTACGAGTTTTATTTTTCAGCTTC